GAAGCCAAAGTCAATAACAGGAAATCACAAGAGAGTTGCTTGAAGCACTAAATGTGTAGCTAAACAGAAACCATAATAGGGCAATGAGTAAGGGCCTGAATAGGTTTTCTATAGTTTAACAAATGCTCTGATTGGTCCACGTCATCTCTGCAACTCCAAACAGCATAGGGTGGCCTAAGGGCGTGTGTGATGTCACGATTTTTAAATCTATAAGGACTCACCATTGGAGCTGGCAGCTTCCGAATGTATGGAGGCTGAGAGCAGTGGCTTGGCACCGACAAGTGCGGAGGAATGAGTAATATGTTCCAAAGGTTTCCAGCCGCATGCCCGTGTGGAATGGTCAGGTCGCACGGCAAGAGAGGAGCTGCTCACATGGAATAGTCAAGTATTGTTACACAGCCAGACACACATACATTCAAACACTCACAAACACAGATCCCCAACTTCTTCCTTGCACAGCAACCAACAATAAATATAATAAATATCCCCTTCCCCTATCCTTTACTTCCTCCAGGCAGTCCTACCTAAGATGACATGTATTTCAGGTTGCAGCATCGTGTGAGAGACAGACATAACATGCCGGATCCCACCTCCCTTCTACACACTGCTCCACACCTGATCTTCAGCTACCATTTAGAGCAGCTCTATTGGAACACTGGGAGAAAGTTGTATCATAGATATTACTTCAACAACACAATATGTGTTGGCACTCAATTATGCAAGGTGCAGGTATTCGAGGTTTAACCCCACAACAACCTCCTAATCAAAATCCAAAAACAAATATGAATACCGCACTCAAAATGCTTGTAGTAAAGTCTAAACTTGTATTAAATTGCAAAAGTATTTATTATGATGATAATTCATAGGTTTATCAAGTAAATCTTAGTGAAATTCATTTCAATCATATGTACATAGATTATTTACATATATACACACAGAATCCTCCCTGTACTGAATTTCATGAACTTTGTATCTATTTACAATGGTAATTGATCCAAAAAATTGAATAAGTGAAAAGTCCAGAAAAAATACAAAAATAATAAAAAAAATAGTAAAAAAAAAATTCTTTTTTTCTTTTTTTTTCTTTTTTTTTTCTTTCTTTTTTCCCTTTTTTTTACTATTTTTTATTATTTTTTGTATTTTTTCTGGACTTTTCATTTATTCAATTTTTTGTACATATGATTGAAATGAATTTCACTAAGATTTACTTGATAAACCTATGAATTATCATCATAATAAATACTTTTGCAATTTAATACAAGTTTAGACTTTACTACAATCATTTTGAGTGCGGTATAGATATTACTTCCTCCAGAGCTGCAGTCCAGTCCATTTAAAAACAAGGAAAAAATCTGAAAAAATATTAGATTCCAAAATGATCCTAGTGTTAGTTGCCAGATAATCTGAAACTGTGATCTCTCCTGCAACAATTTAAGCTTAAAGGCATTTTTAATAAATATATTCTATATAAATCACTTAGTAAATAAATGATTACACTCTTTTGATATGACATGAACATCCAATTATAATGATATTATAAATAACCCCCTCTAAAAATAATAAGTAATTTGAATGAATTACCTACAAAGACAGGCCAAATTCAATCATCATCATCATCAATCTAAATTTAATAATATGTGAAATACTATACAAGAAGGCATGTTTCGTAAAACCATGTGATTGTGTAACAGCTTAGTTTCTAAAGGTGTCTGCTACAAGCTAATTAAGTTCAATCTACATCATATTAACGTAGCCGTGTCCTGGATTCTTTTAAGTTGTTCGTCCATCCATTAACAATAGTATTATAGATGCATGCTATCGCCCAAATTAGTCCAGTAAAAATACACCAAATTATTCAAGTATTTGTTATCTTAAAGTGCAGATTCCTAAAACACGTTAGCTCACTGTGTTGCTTTATGTGTGAAGATTGTGTCCTTTTTTTTTTTTTGTACAAATTTTTCACCCTCCTGACTGTCAATCAGACAACCGGTCCTGTTTCTTCCAACTGCCCAAAGCACCTGCTTTGTAAAGACTTCTCATTGAGCTGCATTTGGCCAGTGGAGTGTGCCTTTATCCTCTTGAGGATGGTGGGGCACCAGATTCCTTTCCCAGAATTTTACTTCTCCCTATACATTACAGAGACACTCATACAATAAAACAAGCTGGGCACAACATGAAGAACGCTATAAAATACATAGAGCCAGTAGTGTATTTTAGATTTGTGCTGCCCTAGGCGTGATGAAACTTGGGCACCTCCCAATGTAATTTTGCCCCAACCCTTCCTGTCAAGGCCACACCTCTTCATGTTTAACACGAACATGCAGTTTGACAGACACCCACTCACAGGCACACACTCTCAGATACACATACTATGACACACATTCACTGACAGACACACACACTCACTGACATACACATTCACTAACAGACGCACACTCACAGGCATACTGTGACAGACACATACACTCTCTAACAGATACACGCTGACAGACATACACTGATAGACACACATTCACTAACAGGCACACACTGACAGACACACACACATTCACTAACAGGCACACACTGAGAGACACACACACATGCACTCACAGGCACACACTGATAGAGGCACACATTCACTCACAGACACACTGACAAGCACACTCACTAACAGATGCACACATACACTCACTAACAGATACACACTCACTCTCAGACATACACTGACAGACAGACAGACACACACACACACACATTTTTTCACAGACACACACATTCACTCACTCACAGACACACATTCACTCACTCACAGACACACACATTCACTCACAGACATACACACACACACACACACATTCACTCACTCACAGACACACACTGACAGACACTGTGGCACACGCACATTCACTCACTCACAGACACACACTGACAGGCACACAGACATTTACTCACTCACAGTCACATACTGACCGACACACACATTCACTCACTTAAAGACACATACTGACAGACACACACATCCACTCACTCACTCACTCACTGACACCTTGATACTGACACCTTGATACTGACATACTAAATCTCTCAATTAAGTGGATTTGTAAGAGTGAATTCTTCCCTGGGGTCCAGTGGGGTTGACTGCTGGACGGGAACAAGCTGGCAGTAAGTCAGCAAATGCAAGAGGCAAGGCATATCCTGCTCAGCTCCCTTGCGCCACTCAGTGATGCTGGGAGCCAGAGTGATGTCATATTCCAGCTTCCAGCATCACTGCGGTGCGCGCGAGGGAGCTGAGCAGGAAGAGCTAAGAGGACTGTGCTCCCTCGCCACCTGCCCATAATATTAGCAGCTGAACCCGCAAGGGGGTCCTGAGCTGGTCAGTTGGCCAGCTCTCGGGTCTCCCATGAAAGAGGCTAACAATGCATTTGCCAGGGCACCCAAGGCAAATGCCTTGTTAAAGATCCAGCACTGCATAGAGCTGAGTACAATACACAGATAACCATACCACAAACAGGGCTAAGAAAAAATAGAGTTGTAATACTCAGAGTTTGGCACATTACAAAGATACCTATACAAGTAGGGGCCTGGCTTACCGCTGAGCAAGATGGCCACTTGACTCCTTGCTCTGGCACATGGGCTCTACAACGCATAGCATTTTTAACCCCTGAGGCAGTCCTCAGCCTCAGAGCCCCATTCCTACATTTTAAAGCTTCACAACGTTTCAACTATCCACAGCATTAGTGTCTCAGGTCTCAGCTTTAGAAAGGTTAAGCACTTTATATAGGATGGTGGTATGTGCAGTAGGGGTTATTAAAACTATTAGTGACAGGTAGCACAGTGTCCCATTAGTAACTATTAGTGACAGTCAATCAGAAACGTCCTCCTCCCATTGTAACCCATTGGCTTCCCTGGCTTTATATATATTAAAGGAATACTATAATCACGTAAATGTAGTGGTTCTGGTGTATAAAGCATGTCCTTGCAGGATTTGTAATATAACCAATGCATTTTCAGAGAAAATGCAGTTTTTACATTGCTGCCTAGGAACACATCTAGTGACAGTCACTCAGATGGCCACTAGGGGTGCTTCATAGTCCAGTGCTTCAAAGTGTGCAGCACTGGAGTTCAGCCTCTCCAAGCCCTGCATGGAGTCACTGAACATTCTCCATAGAGAAGCATTTATTCAATGCATCTCTACGAGGAGATGCTGACTGGTGCAGCTCAGCATTTTGCCTCGCATTTCCAATATTCTCCCAATGCTTCATATGAGAATGCATCATCAAGATTGATGATCTCAGCCATGGAGGCAGAAGCAGCAGGGTTGAGATTGGTGCAGCATGGAAACAAAAGTGAAAAAAAATCACCTTTTCAGTGTGATGAGAGCTGGCCGGTCACCTAAAAAGCCACATCAGAACTGTAGTGTGAGGAATATCTTTGTATTCCTGACACAATCGTTTTCCTTTAATAATATATTTTAATGAATTCCCTTGCTTAAGCAGCCCCTCAGGCAGTCACTAGAGCTATTGAGGGAGAGAAAAAAATTATCTAATACACTTACATTTGGCAGGGGTCAGGGGACAGGCTGCTGCTGCTGTGCTCTCCCTGTGTTACTTCCAAGATGGCTTCTTGCTTCTCTCTCCTGTTGGCACTGGTGCTGTCAGCCAATGATGGCCCCTGAACAGGGCCACCGTCAGAAATTTTGAGCATCCTAACTCAGCTCAGGGTCTGGGCCCCTGGGGGCCCGCCTCCAAGCCTGCCCACAGGAATACACACACAGACACAAACACACGCACTGATATAAAAGGACACAGATACACACACACAAAGATACACACATACTGACACACACACATACATACTAACAGACACACACACACATACTGAAACAGACATACACACATCAGGGCACTCCTGCAGGCACCCAAATGCCCCCCGCATTCCCCCTGTCATGGGGGGCCCAAGAGGTTGCCTGATGGCCACCTGATGGATCCCCTCCGGCGGGCGCCTGTCTCCCTGTCAGACGCAGCGAGGGAGCTGTGTTCTCTCTGCTCTGCTCCCTCGCGCCGTTTGCTGATGCCAGGAGCCAAAATATGATGTCTGTGAATGTGTGTGTGTGTTTCTGTGAGTGTATGTGTCTGTGTCTGTGAGTCTATGTGTGTGTGTGTGTCTGTCTGTGTGTGTGTGTGTGTGTGTGTGTGTGTCTGAGTGTGTGTCTGTGAGTGTGTGTGTGTCTATGAGTGTATGTGTGTGTGTGCTGTGAGTGTGTGTGTGTCTATGCATGTATGTGTGTGTGTCTGTGAATGTGTGTGCGTCTGTGAGTGTATAGGTGAGTGTGTGTCTGTGAGTGTATGTGTGTGTGTGTCTGTGAGTGTATATGTGTGAGTGTCTGTGTGTGAGTGTGGGTCTGAGTATGTGTGTGTGTCTGTGTGTGAGTGTGTGTCTGAGTATGTGTGTGTGTCTGTGAGTGTGTGTGTATGTGTGTGTGTGTGTGTGTGTCTATGAGTGTATGTGTGTGTGTGTATGTGTGTCTGTGAGTGTATGTGTATGTCTGAGTGTGTGTGCGCACACATATATACATACAAGTGTATATTATTTTTCTTGGGGGGGGAGTGGGTCTTGGGTGAGCTCCCACACTTTATTCCCCAGGACTTGACCCCTGACACACATATAGGCATACATACTGACACACGCATACTGAGACATACACACATATACCCAGGGCCGGTGCAAGGATTTTTGTGTAAACAGGCGAAGATGATTTTGGAAACCCCCCTCCCTCCCCAAAAGCATCTTCACCTGTGTGTCTCTTAACCCTCCTTTTGTTTCTTTACCACTTTTTTAACTGTCTTAACTCCTTTAGTGTCTTATCCACTATTTTTTCCCCCATTGTGTATCTCTTACTAACCCCCTTTGTGTTTCTTAATCCTCCTCAGCCTCTTTGTGTGTCTCCTTCTTTCCCAGTCCCTTTATGTCTTTTAGTCTTACCAGCTCTTTTGTGTATTTTTCTTTCACCAGCAGCCCGTCTATCTCACCCCCAGCCCCTGTGTCTCTCCCCCTTACCTGTCTCTTAGTGCCCCCCATAATGTTCCTCCCACCACCTCAATCAGATTAAGTACCTGTGGGATGTGTTGAGTCCATGCCTCGACACATCAGAACTGTTTTAGCAGAATGAGGAAGACCTACAGCAAGCATGTCAAACTCGCGGACCACGGGCCGCATGCGGCCCACAATGAATCTCTTTACAGCCTGGCGAGCCGCGAGTTTGACATTGCAGGTACCCACTCTGCTAAAATGTGCCTGGCCGGGGTGGAGAGGAAGCTGGCATCAGCGAGGGAGCTCTGTCTGTTCTTCCAGACAGACACACACACTCAATGACAGACATTTACACATTCTTGCACACACTCACAAATCATTTTATTTATTGCTCCCTACTGTTGGGAGCTGGTGTGTGGCCTCTCCCTAGGGTCGAGTGGGGATCTTCTATCTGGAGGTCTCCCTTCCTGCTCCTCACTGCTCCCTCTCATGCGCCTTCTGTGGTGATGCTGGGTGCCGGAATATGACGTAATTTCGGCCCGGCATCACTAAACAGTGCGCGTGAGGGAGCAGTGAGGAGCACTGTCAGTATGCACTGTATAACAGTGGGGGATGGGGGGCAATGTATTGGATTTGTGGGCAGTGTATTAGAATGGGAAGAGGGTCAGTGTGTTAGATTTGGTCTGCAAGGAGACGCTGAATGCTCCCCATGAAGATGCTGTTTGGCCGCGCAGCTTTTTGCCACACATGCACAATAGCCTTGATGATCTCAGCCAAAGTGAAGAACACACTCATAGAACTTCAAAATAAACAAGATAAAGGAATTTGGTTTTTACAGCTGTGCAACAGCATACATTCACCATTTCAGTCCCATTACCAAACTTTTCTTAATATGTCAAGGTAGTTGGACTGAAATGTTCATCAAGCGTGAGGATGTCCAGTGTCAGTTAGGCAACTTTTTTTATACTGTACTTTTTTAAATAAACCTACGTTTCTATGAAAACTGATGTTTTTGTTCTTTTGCGACCCACATGGAGCGTCTTAAACGAACCAGAAACAAGTGCAGTGCTACATTCAACAAGTGCAACATGTGGTTGAGGCGGAAGAAAACTGATGATGATTTGATGAAGATTTCAATATGGTTTGTCTTCTTTTAATGTTCTTACAACATATATGTATTTGCTATGCTTTCATCTTGTATTTGTACTTCATAATTAAGGTTTTCAATGGAAATATTTGTTGGTCAGGAACGGATCCCATGTTTATTACATTGCGGTCTATGGGAAATTAGTTCTCACTTTATGAACTAGGCTTCGGAACCAATTAGTTCGTAAAGTCGGGAACTACCTGCGTAGCGGCCATCTTGTGAAGTGGCCATCTTAATTATTCTAACACTTACCTGTGAGTTGTCCCTCCCACCCTCCCCTTTTGTAGTATGGCTGGGTTAGGGTTCTTTCCTGTTCTGTCACAGCGGCGGGGAAGGGCCAGGTTAAATTGGGGGGTGCAGGAAGTAGGAAGTGGGCATGGCTAGGTTAGGGTGGTTTGGGCTGCAATGTCACACTTGGTTGATAGGTTTGAGCCCGTCGGTGGCTTAGTACCTGGGGATGTAATGGTGTCTCGGTACACCCCTACCGTTAAGCAGTTGTAATCTGGGCCATTAGGACGGCCAGATTATGTGTTATATGTTAATTACATTGTTATGTATTCTTATTTGTATTGGGTCATTGCTGGGGGATATTACCTATACAGGGATTACATGTTTTGTTGGTCAGCAATGACCCTATTTGATGTATTTATATATTTATTAATAAAGCTGTGGACTAATCATTTCCAACATTATAAACCTGTGTCTGTATCTTATTGGGTTATGGGTATATATGGGTCTAGCCAATATGCCGGTTAACCGACTGTGCACTTCTCATGTGATTTGGTTTCTGTGCAGTCTAGAGGTGCTACACTACTGGTATTGCATGAAAACTATGCTATGAGTCACCAATCCCATATATTTCAGTCTATATAATTTTCTAAGGAGCAGTTAAGAACCTGCCACAACTTATTTTCCAGGTGATAACAAATTAGATTAAAATAAAATTTTGGCATAAAATAATCAACTGAAAGTAAAATGAAGAGCTGGAATTTAAGGTTGCTCCCTTCACCTCCCATCCAACTCTAAAGCAAAGTACTATATATGCCCAATATACAATATAAATGAATAATGCTATCAACATTTAGAT